AGACGACAGCCTAAACGTTCGGGCGGCCGTATGAACGTGAAGTCGCACTGAACGTGGTTCGCGGTTGGTCCGGACCAGTTGACGGCTTTCTCGCGTTCACGTTGGAACAAAACGCATAAACCCGACGACCACAAGTATCCGGGAACTTAACCCGATGTGCTCCCGCACAAGCGATCGCGGTCCGACGGTTTGTCTGGATTTCCCTTTTGACGGCATCTGTCCACGTTCTCGGGACGAACCGAGCGAAAGAAAACACCCGAAAACTGATCTTCACACCTCCCTCGGCCATTTTGGTTCAGCCCCATGAGCGGCGTTTTGACCGAGGAGGCAGGTCTGCCTTCTTCCAAAACACAGGAATGCCCGTCCCGCGTGCCTACTTCGGCTTACACCCCCAGACCAGAAGTGCGCTCAATGCGCCACGGCGTGACGTAATAGGTTGGAGTTGCGTGTTATGTATGCACGCTACAACATGTTACACCCTTAAAAGGTGCGAATTAACTTGCTTGCACGGGGATAACACCCTTAAGGGTGTTGCAGCAACACCCTTAAGCCGCAGTCACTGTGCTCGTGTATACATTTGATATATTTATGTATTTATTTATTTATTTCATAATACCTTGAAGGCCCCGTTACAGGGCATTACACTAGGGATGGGACACTAAAAGTTTCAATGTAAAAACAGTAATACAAACTCGTGAGCAGCAATAAAAATACAAATAAGAAAAAGTAAATGAAGGGCACAATATTAACATGTTAAGACTCAGCATTGTTTGCACAGGGATCTAAATGTTCACCTAGTAGCTTTTTAAATACGTCCACATTGTTAGTTGTAACTACGTTATCAGGTAAAGCATTCCATTCTAATATTGTCAAAGGAAGAAAAGAATTGGCGTAGGAGGTGGTGGAGGCAAGTGTAGGCTCTATTTTACTGCTGTTGTCCAGCCTTGAGAAAAACAAAATGGGACGTGGGAGTAAAATTTTTCTAAGCGTAGGGTTGTGGTGGTAGATCTTCAAAAACTTCGTCAATCGAGATATCTTCCTTCTTAAAGCGAGCTCAGGAAGATGCGCTCGCTCTCGCAAACCAGAAACACTAGTGTAAAAAGAATAATCAGAATAAATAAATCGCAAACCTCTGTTTTAAGGTTTAGTTCTGCCACGGGGACCATACGGATGGAGCATACTCTAGCTTGGGGCGGACTAAATTTAGGTATGCGATCTGTTTCACTTTAGGGGGGGGGGGGGGGGGGGGGGGGGGGGGGGCGAGTCTTAAGTTCCTTCGTAGAAAACTCAGCGTGCTATTTGCCTTAGCGATTATGTGATTAATATGAGTGGCCCATGTTAAATCGCTTGTTATATGAAGACCAAGATATTTGTAGGATGAAGCACTACTGAGTACAGTGTCGTTAATATTGTAGGTGTAAGAAGATAGTGACAAAATACGAGAAAATGTTAGCACTTTGCATTTATCTAAGTTCAACGACATCTGCCACGTGTCACAGCAATGAGCAATGGATGATAAGTCGGTTTGCAGGGATGAATGATCGTCAGTATTCGTGATTGTGCGATAAATTACGCAGTCATCTGCAAAAAGGCGGATGGTGGAACAGACACAGAGAGGGAGATCATTAATGTAGATTAGAAAAAGAAGTGGTCCGAGTACGCTTCCTTGAGGGACGCCTGATGTTACGTTAGTTCGAGATGACTCGGAGTTATTTGCGACGGTGTATTGAGAGCGACCAGAAAGAAATTGTGATATCCAGGCGATGATAAGGGGATCAATTTTAGAATAATGAAGTTTGGTCAAAAGACAATTATGAGGTACCCTATCGAAGGCTTTTGCGAAGTCAAGAAAGATGGCATCGACTTGTTTTTTATGTTCAAGGTTAGAGTGAATGTTATGTACGAATTCTAGGAGTTGCGTTTCACACGATAGTCTTTTCCTAAATCCATGTTGATTAACGTTGAGAAGGTTACGACGTTTGAAAATATGATGTGTTCAATAATTTTGGATGGGATACTAATGAGCGATATGGGGCGATAATTAAGAGGTGATTTTCGGTCTCCGGACTTGTGAATAGGGATGACACGGGAGATTTTCCAGTCAAAGGGAATGTAACCAGAAGCAAAGGATTCACGGAAAATGTCAAAGAGGAAGAGAGATGATATGTGTTTGGTGTTGAATAGAATCTTGGAATTGATGAGGTCATCCCCTGTACTTGAGGTATAGTTTCTGATTTTCGATGGTTTTTGCGACACCGAACGGGTTGATAGCAATCGCTTCCATTTGTGGATGATTAGGAATATGAAGCTTCGGAACAGGTGTTAAGGTTTTCGTTGGTAAATACAGAACAAAAATATTTATTTAAGCAATCAGCCCACTGCTTGTCAGTTAAAGCCAGTCCTTCGATGTTAGTGAAAGCGTGAGGGGTGACAGGTTTACGATTGATCATATTCCAGAACTGTTTGGGATTATCAGACAATACTTTTAATAGGTCGTTTTCATAAAATTTCGATTTAGCTTTTGCAATTTCTTTGGGTGTGTCGCCATAGATACTCGCTTCCGACAAGTGTTAAAAACCTCATTTATAATGCCTTTTTACTACCTATTATTACATGTCATATCATCTGGGGAACAACCACAAAACAAAACAAACTCAAATTACTTCTTGCGCAAAAAAGGGCAGTAAGGCTGATTGCGAATGTCTCGGGGTGCGCGCATACCGAACAATATTTTTTCAAGTTCAGTATTATTAAGTCAACCTCTCTTTATGCTTTCAAATTGTTGTGTATGCATAAGAGTGCCTGCGGTCAACAGTTAAACGAACGCAGTACAGCTTCGTAAACTCGACGATGCGATTCGCTTCAGAACAACATCTCTTCAAGGGCTGGATATCCCGCCTAGCAACTACGCTGTCGTCCTAGATCGTGTTCTCATGCGCTGCCTTCCTGCTGACTTGGCTATACTATACCGACATAAGAAGCAGCACTGACACCATCAGCCGACACACCTGACATGCGCCCGGAAGAGCAGGTTCGTGTCATCATGTTATTTCTACAGACTCAAGTTGAGATTCGAGAAGATGTCCAAATGGAACACCCAAGTCACTCTCCCCAGTATGGGTCATCGCCGATACCGCGTCAAGAATCCGTACAGGCGAGCCACCCTTCCGCACTCGCACTCTCGACTGAGACTATTGGCTACCGAGCGGCCACGTGCCCTTTGTGTGATACCACCCAGCACACGTTGCAAAACTGCCAGGCCAGACTTTCAACACAAGAAAAAAGAACCAAGCTTGCGCGAGCACGCTGCTGCTTCAAATGCGGCAAGCGAAATCACATCACTCGTGTTTGCCGTTCGTGCAGGAACTTTACATGTGCCACTTGGGGAGGTCACCACGTGAATCAACTCTGCGATCTATCACGTCCCACATCAGCCGCATCGGACAACCCACAGGCAGGAAGACTTTGTGAAGGAAGCGCAACAGTCGTGAGCGCCCCAACCACCAATTTCCGCTCTTTGCTGTCTTGCTGCAAACTGCTAGAACGTGGGCCCTAGGGACACCGAGACACCTCCTACTGAGGCTGTTACTGGACAGTGGGAGTCAGCGCACGTTTATCCGGCAGGACATTTATGAAAAACTGGGCTGTGAAGTCGTGGGCCAGGAGGAGCTTACTATATACACATTTGGAAACACAGCCACCAAACGGTCCTGTGGACGAGTCGTTGTGACCCTCCATAGTCGTCAAAGCAACCAGAAGACATCACTTGAAGCACTGGAAGTCCCAGACCTGTGCACAGTATCACACCAGCAGCTAGATTACAATCTACTGAGGCAACTTCATTCCCGCGGAATTCAAGCCGCAGATATCATCCCTGCTGGGGCTCAAGGCAGAGTGGACAACGACGTCGGCGTTTTCTCATTGGTTCAGACTTCTACTGGCAAGTCGTCACGGGACGAATCCAGCGCATGACTGACGACCTCAGCGCAGTAGAAACCATATTTGGATGGATGGTCCAAGGAACATACCCTCAAGTCGTCTTTCACCCTTTAACAAGCGTTTCTACGTTTTTCCTCACATGCGAGCCCGTCTACCAATGTAATGAGCCATTTGATCCGTCAGAAATGTGGTGTTTAGATGCTATTGGAATTTCAGAAGGTACCAGGTCAAGCTTACTTGAACATCCAACAATGCTAGAATTCAACAACAAAATCACCAACGTGAACAACCGCTACGAAGTCCCCTTAATGATCAAGCCTCCAGGCATTGGAACTGACAATGACAACAGATCCACGGCAGAAACCCGTCTCTTCGCACAGTTAAGACGGTTTCGTGCGCATCTCGAAATGCTCGAGCAGTACGACCGCTCTGTGCGGGAGTATTTTGATGAAGGTCACGCAGAAAGAGTTCCACAATCGAAGGAACAACCGGAAAATGTTTATTATCTGCCCCATCACGCAGCTGTCCGCAAAGAAGCTGTGACGACGAAGCTCCGAGTTGTATTTGACGCATCTTCACATCTTCCTGACAAGCCTTCTCTCAACAGCGTGCTTGACAAAGGTCCTAATATTGAGAATAGCCTGCTTCAGATACTTTTGAAGTTTCGTTGCAGTCCTATGGTCATGACCGCAGACATCCGCAAAGCGTTTCTACAGATCGGTATTCGTCCGCAGGTTCGAACGTTAATTTTCCCACAGTCTCGGGTTGCCAGACAAAACGACTATTAAGACACCAACCTAGATATAACGAAAGATCGTACTAAGTTACGTTACGCTTCGATACCCACAGCAATAACAGCCGCAAGTTCGATTGCGCGGAGGAACATAGTTACAAACGACGCGCCTACCCGAAACGGCGAATCAACTTTCTCGACACCGGCCGCGGGCCCCGGGAGGGAGTACTCGTGATTTCGACGTGGGACGGGCACCATCACCCACCCCTTCATAATATATTGAGAAAAAACGAGATTTTGCAGCATACACGACAAAATGAAAGCTCACCTCCTGCACGAAAAAGAGCGTCATCGACACGTTGCTGGGAGAGTCGGGAGAGTACACTCTAGGAGTGTGGCAGACAGCGCGATGCTCAATAGCCGTGGCACTCGGGAGCAAAAAGAGCGCTGTGATGATGCCGCCGAACAGTGCCGAGCCTCCGCCGCCGGCGCCGTGCGTGGACGACGGCATCGCTACGGTCACCGTAATCCACTGCCTAGGGCTGTAGCGATTCCACCGGCGAGCTGTCCCTGGAGGCAGACGCATGCACTCGTACTCGTCGCCGCCGCTCGGCCGCTTCTCCAGCTCACCGCGACCGAGGAGTTCGGAGTCGCCACCGCCGGCACGGAAGGGAGTGGCACACGGCACGGGCTGTAGTCGTCGACGAGCGCTCCGTTAAATAAGATCTACGGCGGCAGGCAGGTGGTCCCGTTTTGTTGATGTCACGCCGGACGCTCCGCCATATTTAAATGCGCCCATGGTTCAGCCGCAGCCGCCGCAGCCGCAGGAAACGGCAAGTGGAACCGACGCCCCGCGCCGCCGGGTTGGCGCTGCAATCGCGCCGGAAGCGGAAGCGGAGCCAAACCGAGAATAGTGAGTGGAAAGCGCCAGAACAAAAAACGTAAAAAAAGTACTTTTGTCCGTCTGCCAGCAGCCTTCGAGCAACGTATCGACCAGCCACGGTCAACCAGAGGCCATGGACACGAAAAATGCGAGCAACCCCGGTCCCGCCGCTACCAAGACGCCAGGAACTGCTCCAGCCTCGATACTAAACTAACCGACGATGGAGTGCTCAACCGTCTTCCAGTTTGGTGAGCCCTCCACATTTTCAAGCACAGGGAAATCTGTCGAGCTAGTCTTAAGGGCTCTTCTTTCGAGCATATCGAAAGAGAACCTTATCGACATTTTGAAGTGTCCTTGGAGAATCTCATGAAATCGTGCCAACTACCAAAGTGAAGAAGAAGAAAAAGTCTGCGGCTTCTAAGAAAGCCTTGAAAAGCAACACAGCAACAACAATCCTGCCAGCGCTAGCCGGCACTAGCTGTACCTACATCTGGCTAAACAAGCAGGGATCCAGGGCGACAGCTCCGGTGCCTGCTAAGCCACTGCCGGCACAAAAGCCTGCGGCAGCCACGCCACCTACTACAGCACAAACAAAAGAAGAGGACGGCTTCACCACCGTCACGAGCAAGAAGAAAGGAAAACGGGCTCGCGAATACCTGACATAACAAAATACTGAAAAGGCTAAGCCCTCCTGACGCTGGCAATTCGAGCACAAGATCCGCCTGACACGATCGCAAGTATCGATAAAGCCACTACTACCAAGACTGAAAACGCACCTCCCAAACGTTTCAACAGCATTCACAATGCATCTAATAGACATGGCCAACACAATTTCAGTCCGCACGGTCTCGAAACAGCTGGCTGAAACCCTCGAGAAGATCACCGAGGTCGCCATAGACAGGCAAGCAGGTTCTTCACAGGTCTTTAGAACGTACGTAACCACCTATTGCAAAGGGGCCATCTACGACATATACTCAAAAGAAGAGGATCCCCAAGACACCACCCTGAACCTTGAATTGGAATCTGAGAAGATCCACGTGGTCCCTGCTCGTAGACTGGGAAGGTCTAACACGGCAATGCTCACACTTGATGGAGAAAAGACGCCAAGGTCCGTCTTGTATACGGAAAAAGATATATGCGGGTCTTCCTGTTCAAGCCGAAAGCGGTGACCTGCGGTAACTGCCACCAATTGGGACAGAAACCAAACATCTGCCCAAATGCTGCCGTGTGCCCCATCTGCCGAACTCAACATTTAGCCTCTACGGATCCTGCCCAGGGACCCGGATGCCCCAACTCCACACTCTACTGCCAAGGGTGCAGAAAGAGGGGCCACCTGGGAACGTACCGCAAATGCCCCACCGGGCAAGAGACCAACAAGCGAATGCGGGAAGATGTTAAAAAATTCCGAGAACAACATCAGCCCCAACAGCAGCAGCAGGAGACTGCGATCAGGGCTATCGAGACCCCGGTCCCTCCCAGCGGCACCTCGTGGGCTAACAGAGTCAAGCAAGGCATCATCGCTCCACCACCATCACCGTCGTTACAGGCGGAGATCCAAGAACTACGCAACACTTGCAACAACTTCAAAGCCGAGCTAGGCAGGCTCAAGGTCATTGTCTAAATCCAGCAGAAAGAGAACAACCACCACAAGTCTATATACCCTCAGTCAGATGAGGGCACTTACAGCGAATATTTTTTAACGCTAATAAGGGTGTTTCGATAGAACTGCCAGGCGCTCCGCAAGCGGGCAGCCGAGCTTCGAGTACGTCTGTCGAACAAGCCTGACGAGTTTCCTGATGTGCTATTGGTTCAGGAGACTAATACTACAAGCATCGACTTCAGTGGCTACACTACCTACTCGAGCCCATCCATAACTAGCAAACGGCCGGTGCAATCTGCCTCCCCGTCAGAGAAAGCGCTCGTCTATGTAAAGTGCGACTGGCCCCAGCACCAAGCAGATCTAACCCTCTATTGTAATGAAAATCAAGAAATCGTTACGGTCAGAGTCACGGTTCGGCAACAGAACATCGTATTCATATACGCATACTACAGGCCTCTTGAGCAAGACACAAATAAGAACCACGGTTGGATCGCTTATCTGCACGATCTCAACCCAATAGAACAAAAGCTCTATTGTGAAGACTTCAACCTCCAACATCATGCATGGGGATACAACCACGTATCAACAGGAGCGGAAGAGCTGCTTGGTGAGATGAAGATCTTCAGACTGAACCAAATCAACAACCACGGGACCAAGACAAGGCTGGGAGATACCAGGCAGAAGGAAACCACCCCAGACCTAACATTGACCTCAAATACCTGCATATATTATCACAAGTGGAAGTGACTTCCGGACTCTTGGAGCAGCGACCACTTCCCAATCTTTGAATTCTTGCCTACAAAAAAGATCAAAGACAGATCTAAGCGGAGAGTGGCTAAAACCATTTACTGGGACAAGTTCAGGTCAACGCTGGAAGAACGCAACTTCGAAGGGTCCAGTATCGAGAGCCTCCTAAACAGCGCCCTGCAAGGAGCTACGATTACAAGGAACGTCGATGAAGACGCTCCAAACCCCGACTTTCACCTACTACGGCTCTGGGCTAAACGGCTGCATGTGGTACAAAAGTACCGATAGGCGCAGAACCCCGCGAGGCAGTCACGCCATAACAAGCAAGAGCTACGGTAGAGGCCAAGGAAAACATACAATTGAAAGAATAAAACACAGAGGACAAGCACAGGACAACCACTTTCTTTCATTTAGCAAACGTCGTTGCTAAATGAAAGAAAGTGGTTGTCCTGTGCTTGTCCTCTGTGTTTTATTCTTTATGTGTTCATGTTCAACCCGCTCGCCTTCACCAGGCCAAGGAAAACGCCCCATAATTAGATACACGCCGATGGCTAGACTACAGCTCTTCGCTCTCCGACAGGTCCTCGATTACGAAGCTATGGGCTACAAATCGGGCTCTGCTTGGAAAGAAGATGAAAGGAGCGACGCTCACACTCGCTCTCAAGATGAATGAGACGAAAGAACAGCTCGCAGGAATGGCGAAGAATTATTTTTCTCGCAGTCAGACGTGAATGACTGCCCTTCTCCGTACGACGCAGAAATCTTGCCCCCGGACAACGGCATGGACCGACCGTTTACGAGGGAAGAACTCGAGTGGGCTCTACACAAAGGGAAATCCCGATCGGCGCCCGGGCCGGATAAAATCACCATGACTCTGCTTAAGAACCTTTTAGAAAACACACAAGAACAGCTCCTCGAATGGATGAACCACATCTGAGTCACCGGAAAGCTCCCTGAGCAGTGGAAGCATTCAATTGTCGTTCCCATTCCCAAACCCGGGAAAGACAAAGGTACCCCCGGCCATTGCGAACCCATCTCGCTAACCTCGTGCATCTATAAGGTCATGAATCGGATGGTATTGACGCGAATCGACTGGCACCTAGAATCCTCGGGCACCTTCCATCCCTCCCAGACAGATCTCCGACCCTGCCTCAGAACGCAAGAAAGCCTCGCCCTCATCTTGGCAGAAGTCATAAGATATACCGGACTCGACCGCGCGGTTATAAGAACAGTTGTGGCGGTTGACATAAAAAAAGCGTTTGATTCTGTATCCTACATCTCAATCATAAGCGAAGCCAGACAATGCGGCATGGTTGGAAGGCCGCTGAACTTCATCAAGAGCTTCCTAGAAGGAAGGACGTTTTCGGTGCGCTGCGGCACGCACGGCAGCGACCCGAAGGTGAACCGAATAGGGGTCCCTCAGGGTTCCGTCCTCTCACCAACACTATTCAATCTCGCAATGGCAGCCCTGCCGCACGAACCCGCCAAGATACCCCGACTTGGTTTTACCGTGTATGCGGATGACATCACAATGTGGGCGAAAGGGGAAGACATCGCAAAGCCGCAAGACACGGTTCAAGCAGGCCTCGACACAATCGACGCTCACCTAGCCAGGGTAGGAATGCAAGCATCTGCGGAAAAGACCCATTACACCGCGGTGGAACTAAGAAGACGCAGAAATGCCAAGATTGCAGAACGATTTAATCTCGTCCTCGTGGGTAAAAGAGTCCAATCCCCCCCCCCCCCCCCCCCTTTCAGTCAGGATCCTAGGTACTACAATCGAAGAAACGGGCTAGGGAGACATCTGGTTGCAAGGTACAATCAAGTACTGCTACTCCACGCTCAACACCATCAGGCATATATGCAGCGGAAGAGGAGGCGCGGCTGAAAACATAGCCAAACGGATGGTCAAAGCCCTCGTAGTCTCGCGCGTAGTCTATGGAGCCCGTCACTACTGGCTCAACAAGGGAGAGTGGCAGAGACTGGAAGCTTTGAACAATCAAACAATGCGTGCCATTACCGGCCTTCCCAAGTTTACTCCCCTCTGAAAACTGCGGGAACAAGCCGGTATCAACAAACTCCATGACGTAGTGACGGCCCGCACGGTTGCTCACAGCGATCGCATGAAGCTCACTAGACAAGGCAGATATATTACGAAACTCCGCCACTGGCCGACGGAGAGCGTCCCAGAACTACTCGAACAGCTTCTGCCATGGGAAGTCCTCGCAGAGATAACCGACAACAAGCCTAGTGCACTCAAGGGGGACACCAAGCAGCTAAATCGTAAAGCACAAGGTGCACACCAAGATGGTAGAAGCATGGGATCCGAGTTGTGTCATGGCTGCCTGCACGGATACCGCATCGCTAGACGGCCCCGTCACCCCTAAGACGCAGCTGTAGCCATCCCTGCACTACAAATCAGCGGTACCAAGCAGCTCCCCGAAGGCGCCTCGAACAAAGGAGGAGAACTTACAGCAATCCGCCTCGCCCTCGAGACGGTCCTCGCACTCCCCGACCCACTAGCAACGAATCT